AACTAGTGGTAGTAGTAGCATACTAGGGGGTTAGTATAGTACCGTACTATGGTAGTAGTAGCATACAAGTGGTATAGTACAGACTAGTGGTAGTAGTATCGTACTAGTAAAAATAGTAGCAGTACAAGTGGAGTAGTAGCAGTACTAGTGGTAGTAGTAGCAGAACAAAGTGGTAGTGTAGCAGTACTGTGGTATTCTTTCCATTTTCACAGTTGAAGGACCCCAGTTTTCAGTTTTAATTGAGGCGGTACGTAGGGGATACCCTAGTAAAATTTAGATGTGTTCTGCTAGTCCATATGTAGTAGGTTTTTAGGCCAAATTGGAGACTTTCCAAAGCCCAGTTAATGCCCAAAAATTTGGGTTAAGGGGGCCACGACCATAGAGGAACCCCTTGATCCTCAAGTAACCAATAAGATGAGTGAAAGCCCGAGATTTGAAGCAGTGTTTTTTTAAGGGTGTCCCGTTGCCGGGTTGGTAGCATACCCCACCCCCAAAACACTGAGCTTTTCCCGGGGTTTTGATTCTGGTATGGGTGGAAACACCCAAATCCTGAGAGTTAACCAAAGTTGCCCAAAATGCTCTGCATAACAAAGGTCTTTCTATATATATGTCACTGATGCCTTTTATGATCGGGTAAAAATTGTATTACGTACTTGTAGAAATTTTACATTATTATTTTTAGTCCTTGGGGGAAATGTATGTTCCCGTTATTCTGTTTTAATTTTAAAATCTTTAAATTAAAACACCCCATCTCATCCTGTGGGCACATTATTTAAACATTTATACTCTTTTAAGTAACAATAAAAGACTGTTTGGACTTACATTTCAATAAATCATTAAAAAATTTTCAAAGATAAAGGGAAAAAGACGAAATAAAAAAAAAAAAAGTTTTAGAAAGGACATTAATGGGCACGAAGTGCAGGGTGTACTGGGGCCCTACCCCCCCGGGGTTTTGGACTGGGTTTTTGCTTTCCCCTTTTGGAGAACAAGATAGGGTAAGGGTAAAATTTGTTTGGGGTTTTTAACCTGGAGGGTTAAACCCCTCAGGAAAAAACCCTGGGTAGGGAGAGGGGTGGGAATTTATTTTTCATCAAATTTCCCCCCACCGACCTCTTTTAAAAAATATTTTAGGGGCGTGTTCACAGGGATGGCGAGAGTTGGGGTTGATCCTTAAAACCCCCCTAACATACCCTTTTCGTACTGAAACAAATGAAATTAATTAAAATTATTTTGGGTAGATTTTTTAAACCCTTTAAAAAGATTCAGGGGTGGCCCTTTAAAATTTAGTAAAAAAATATCAAAATTAATAATGTAGCCCTTTAAAAATAATATAGTGGTAGGTAACCCTCTTTTCCCCCAGCACAGCGCCCAGGATAGTTTACTGAGCCCATGAGTTTTTTTTCTGGGGTGATCTTTAAAGAAAATAAAATACCAGATATACAAGCAAATTTCCTAAATTTGTTTGTAAAAAGATAAGTGAACTGTAATATCAGGTTTTTAAATCCATAAAGTATTTATTTAACCCTTTTGGGGCCAAGTTTTCCCAGGCCTTTTAAAGTAACCCCTATGGTCTTTTTCGCTAAACCCTCCACAAAGGGTGGATATGGGGGGGCACAATTTAAAATAAACCCTTTTCCCCCGGGGGCAAAATCTAAAAAATTTGGTTTTGAGGTACCGTAGAGTGAGGCTTGGAGTTGGAAAACTTGAAACCCAAATGCGTTAACAAAATATTTGCCTGGCGAAACCCCGAAAAAAAAGAGGCATCTTTTGGAAGTGGACACCCCGGTCTCTTTACCGGCCCCCCCCGAGATTATTCATACTTTTCATCACAGTAATTGGGGGGTCCCTTATTTTGGGGAACACAGGGTTATAAGCAGGGCCCAAAAGGGCCCCAAAACCCCGGGGGAAAAAAGCCAGGGTTGGGTGAATAGTCATCCCTGAATAAAGGGGGGCCCGAAGCCGTGGGTCTTTTTTTGAAAATAAATACTAGTTAGGGAAAACCCTAGTAAAAACAGGACTCCAGAAAAGTATTTCTGGGATTACTAATATTTTTTAAAAAGGATTAAAAAGAAGCCATTCCCATATGCACATTGACATCCAAGGAGAAAGAGAATCAATAAAATCTAAAATAACATGGGTAAAAACTGGAAATTTCTAGCTAGGGGTAGACTGCACATCACAAGTAAATTTTTTTCTAGTTTGTACATGGAAAAAGCCAACATTTTCCCGCAGGCCCCGTTTTTAAACCCTTTTTTAAAGAAGTGAAAACCCCTTATGGGTACTTGTGAGAACAGGGCCCAAAAGGGGTCTTGTGTTATTTTAAAAAGTGATTGTCAAATGGGGTTCTTAAAAGTTCCCCCCCAAAAAGGGGTAGTCACCCAGGGTAATCAAAAATAGCTCGTCATCCCCAGGGCTGTCTGTCTTATTTCCATTGTGGTTTTCCCTTTAGTCCCTTTTCCCAGGATGCCACCCCCCACCAGGCAAATACGCCCACGACCACTTACTGCTTGGGGGAACAGTGACAGCAGGGGTCACCAAATTTAAATTGGCAGAAAGATTTCAACATCCCCCCCAATTTTAAAAGCAGGGGTGTCACTTTGCACGTTTTAAAAGACAAAACAAAAGTGTCAGGGGGCCCGGAAAATGTTCAACTGCCCTCCCAGCTACATAAAGGGGGTTACCAACAGACCCCTGGCATCTTTAAGCTGGCACTTTGGGCAAGCACCTAAAAGGGCGGTTCCTGGACCCAGGGCCCGGGGTGTGGCTCGTAGTTGGTTTGCGTACAGCCCCCGCAAGCAAACCCCGGGTTTATCCGGGCCCTGATCCACCAGGGGGGCCTGTCACAGACCGGGGCCCCTGGGCGTTTACCCCCCCGGAATTTTCTCCCGGGAAAACTCCAGGGAATTAAAAAACACAGCCTCATCAACAAAGGCCCTTGATAAATGGGGTTTTCCCCAGGGAAGTGTCCTTGGTCCCCCGCTTTTTCCTCATTTACATTAATGATCTTCCAAACGTAAACCCAACACCGAAACCCCTTCTCTTTGCGACGGGCCCCGAATTTGTCATCTCCCACCCTAAAACTTGCCCCCCTCCCACCATTGTCAACGAGGAGCTGCTCAAAATTCTGAAATTGGATGACAGCCAATTTAAAATTACAATTAACACTGTAAAAAAAACCTACTTGCATTAGTTTGGTAGCACAGCAGGGTTGCGCAAATTAACATTAAATCGAAAAACACTCCTTTAAAAACCAAGATAATGGGGGCAAAATTCCCCAGGGCTTTTTAAAAACCCCGACCCAAAAAACCTAAATTTCAGCACCCATACCCACATAACAAAAAAAAGTATCCAAAAAGGTGGGGAAACCCCTCCAAGAAACGATAGTAGTGGGGCAAACGGGCCCTTTTTCATACTATACCCTTCACTCATTTTTTCCATACCCCAGCTATGGGTATTTGTGCCCTTTGGGGATCAAATGCAGCAAACATCTAAAACCAAAAATAACCCAACAAAAAGCCGCAGTTAAAAATAAACACTAAAAACCCCTCCCTGGCCCAAAACCCCCCCCCCCACTCTTCATAGACTAAACTTACTCCCCGTTTTAAACATCCACCCCTTACTACGTGGGAATTTTACACCCCCTTTAAGGGAAAGGGTCCTTGAAAGCGGGGGAGGGGGTCTTGATCTAGGGGAAATTGGGGTCTGCTCCAGGTTCCCCCGAATTAAACCTGAATGCCTTCCCTTCCCCCCCCAAAGGGGCCCGTATAATCCTAAAAGGGTTTTTGCTTCCCCCTTTAAATTTTAAAAAAATGTGCAATCTACATCTACAGGACATTAAAATTTCCAAAATTAACCTTTACCTAAAAAGCTTTTTTGATAGTTGTGACAGGACCCACAGGGATAATACCAGACACAAACATCTCTATGACATTTCCCCTGGGCCGACTAAACCCTTTTCAAAAATTTTAAAAGTGTGTCAAAGGGCCTAAAAAACTGGGGAAAACCCCACCTGAGAACTCTAGAACAGCAAAACACATTCAAACACTTTCAAAACTACAGCTAGAAAACAAACTTAACTTTCCCCGATAAAAACCCCACAACTAACTACCCTGTAAACCCCTGGGGGTTCCAATTTTCACTCACTCACCCATCGACTATAAACACAGAAATACGAATCTTAATCTTTTAAAAAAAGAAATTTTTAAAATAAATTTATAAAATTTGCCTATGAAAACCCAATAAAGACCCCTTGTATTGTGCCAAAAAAAAGCATTTTACATTGCTAAATTACAAACTATAAAAGTAGTCAATTAAAACCTTTTAAAACCCATAATCTGTAATAATTTTAAAAATTTAGATTAATCTAAGTGGGGCCCAAATGCCCCACCATGCTAGGGGGTCCCCCAGTGGCCCCCCCCCCCTGTAATTAGTATTTTATAAAATGTTTAAAACCCCACAAATCCAAAATCTGTAAAAACCCCACAAAGTAACCCTTAAAAGAGAATAAACCTTATTGATTTGATTTGAACATTCCAACGTTTCACTCGACGGGGGACAAACACGGGCACTCAAATGTGTGAGGTGAAACGCTATGCCACCCCGACCCACAAACAAATAATAATAATATCTTTATTTACTACTAGTACATGGTATACAGACCATAGCTGACATCAGGGACATACTACTATGAAAGCCCCTTGTTATGCTGAGCATTTCTGACAAATTAGGTCAGTGTCCCAGGATGCGACCCACACCAGTCGACTAACACCCAGGTACCTATTTTACTGATGGGAAACATAGGCAACAGGTGGAAAGAAACATGCCCACTGTTTCTACTCTGGCTGGGAATCAAACCCAGGCCCTATCCGTGTGAAACGAGAGCTCTAACCACCAGGCCACCAGAGCCTCGCTGCTTGGCCTTCCTGGGTTACTAACTTTCCAGAGTTAACGACCCGAACGAAGTCTTAGTAATGTCTTAGTAACTGTGTCTTTATTTACAGACGAGGAGTGTTACCTACTGGGAATGGATCCTAAGTTTGCTCGGCCGGACTGGATGATTCTCACAGTCTTGCCGGTCCCGCCCTTACCCGTCCGCCCGGCCGTTGTTATGTACGGATCTGCTCGCAACCAGGACGACCTCACACACAAGCTGGCCGACATTATCAAATCCAACAACGAATTGATCCGCAACGAGCAGTCAGGCGCCGCCGCTCACATAATTTCCGAAAACTTGAAGAACTTACAATTCCACGTAGCCACTATGACAGACAACGATATGCCCGGTATGCCCAGGGCACTTCAGAAGTCAGGAAGACCCCTCAAGGCTCTCAAGTCTCGCCTCAAGGGGAAGGAGGGCAGGATTCGTGGAAATCTGATGGGCAAGAGAGTGGATTTTTCAGCGAGGACGGTAATCACAGCGGACCCTAACTTGAGGATTGACCAGGTGGGCGTACCTCGCTCCATCGCTCAGAACCTCACCTACCCGGAGATTGTCACCCCCTTCAACATTACCAAGTAAGTCCACCTACCACCACCTTCAACATTACCAAGTATGTCCACCCACAACTACCTTCAACATTACTAAGTATGTCCACCCACCACCACCTTCAACATTACCAAGTATGTCTACCTACCACCACCTTCAACATTACCAAGTATGTCTACCTACCACCACCTTCAACATTACCAAGTATGTCCACCTACCACCACCTTCAACATTACCAAGTATGTCCACCTACCACCACCTTCAACATTACCAAGTATGTCCACCTACCACCACCTTCAACATTACCTAGTATGTCCACCCACCACCACCTTCAACATTACCAAGTATGTCCACCCACCACCACCTTCAACATTACCAAGTATGTCCACCTACCACCACCTTCAACATTACCAAGTATGTCCACCTAACCACAACCTTCAACATTACCAAGTATGTCCACCCACCCACCTTCAACATTACCAAGTATGTCCACCCCACCACCACCTTCAACATTACCAAGTAAGTCCACCCACCACCACCAAGTATGCCCACCTACCACCAGCTTCAACATTACCAAGTAAGTCCACCTACCACCACCTTCAACATTACCAAGTAAGTCCACCCACCACCACCTTCAACATTACCAAGTATATCCACCTACCACCACCTTCAACATTACCAAGTATGTCCACCCACCACCACCTTCAACATTACCAAGTATGTCCACCTACCACCACCTTCAACATTACCAAGTATGTCCACCCACCACCACCTTCAACATTACCAAGTAAGTCCACCCACCACCACCTTCAACATTACCAAGTATGTCCACCTACCACCACCTTCAACATTACCAAGTATGTACACCTACCACCACCTTCAACATTACCAAGTATGTCTACCTACCACCACCTTCAACATTACCAAGTCCACCTACCACCACCTTCAACATTACCAAGTATGTCTACCTACCACCACCTTCAGCATTACCAAGTCCACCCACCACCACCTTCAACATTACAAGTATGTCCACCCACCACCACCTTCAACATTACCAAGTATGTCCACCCACCACCACCTTCACATTACCAAGTATGTCCACCCACCACCACCTTCAACATTACCAAGTATGTCCACCCACACCACCTTCAACATTACCAAGTATGTCCACCCACCACCACCTTCAACATTACCAAGTATGTCCACCCACCACCACCTTCAACATTACCAAGTATGTCCACCCACCACCACCTTCAACATTACCAAGTATGTCCACTACCACACCTTCAAACATTACCAAGTAAGTCAACCCACCACCACCTTCAACATTACCAAGTATGTCCACCTACCACCACCTTCAACATTACCAAGTATGTCCACCCACCATCACCTTCAACATTACCAAGTAAGTCCACCTACCACCACCTTCAACATTACCAAGTATGTCCACCCACCATCACCTTCAACATTACCAAGTAAGTCCACCCACCACCTTCAACATTACCAAGTATGTCCACCCACCACCACCTTCAACATTACCAAGTAAGTCCACCTACCACCACCTTCAACATTACCTAGTATGTCCACCTACCACCACCTTCAACATTACCAAGTATGTCCACCCACCATCACCTTCAACATTACCAAGTAAGTCCACCTACCACCACCTTCAACATTACCAAGTATGTCCACCCACCATCACCTTCAACATTACCAAGTAAGTCCACCCACCACCACCTTCAACATTACCAAGTAAGTCCACCTACCACCACCTTCAACATTACCAAGTATGTCCACCTACCACCACCTTCAACATTACCAAGTATGTCCACCCACCACCACCTTCAACATTACCAAGTAAGTCCACCTACCACCACCTTCAACATTACCTCGTATGTGTCCACCTACCACCACCTTCAACATTACCAAGTAAGTCCACCACCACCACCTTCAAAATTACCAAGTATGTCCACCCACCACCACCTTCAACATTACCAAGTAAGTCCACCCACCACCACCTTCAACATTACCAAGTAAGTCCACCTACCACCACCTTCAACATTACCAAGTATGTACACCTACCACCACCTTCAACATTACCAAGTATGTCCACCCACCACCACCTTCAGCATTACCAAGTAAGTCCACCTACCACCACCTTCAACATTACCAAGTATGTCCACCTACCACCACCTTTAACATTACCAAGTATGTCCACCCACCACCACCTTCAACATTAGCAAGTAAGTCCACCTACCACCACCTTCAACATTACCAAGTATGTTAGGTAAGACACATATGCAACAGTTAGGTATCTTTATTATGAAACGTTTCGCCTACACAGTAGGCTTCTTCAGTCAAGTTCAGAAAAGTTGATAGAAGCAGAAGATACTTGAAGACGATGTAATCAGTCCATCACCCTTAAAGTTTTGGGGTGGTCAGTCCCTCAGTCTGGAGAAGAGCATTGTTCCATAGTATGAAACAATATGGAGATGAAGTGACAGGATGGAGCTTTTTATAGCGCCAAGAGGTGAGACGTAGGCCACTAGGAGAGGTAAGAACTCAGATGTTGAGAGGTCAGGTCCCTCTCAAATCCAGCCGCTCTCACTAGTGGAAGTTGTCGAAGTTGATTGCAGGTCTGTACCAAGATACCCTTGTGTTGCAGTGTCTGACAGATTGAACATTAAAATGGTATAAAATACCGACAGGTTGTTAGGTAAGACACATATGCAACAGTTAGGTATCTTTATTATGAAACGTTTCGCCTACACAGTAGGCTTCTTCAGTCAAGTACAGAAAAGTTGATAGAAGCAGAAGATACTTGAAGACGATGTAATCAGTCCATCACCCTTAAAGTTTTGAGGTGGTCAGTCCCTCAGTCTGGAGAAGAGCATTGTTCCATAGTATGAAACAATATGGAGATGAAGTGACAGGATGGAGCTTTTTATAGCGCCAAGAGGTGAGACGTAGGCCACTAGGAGAGGTAAGAACTCAGATGTTGAGAGGTCAGGTCCCTCTCAAATCCAGCCGCTCTCACTAGTGGAAGTTGTCGAAGTTGATTGCAGGTCTGTACCGAGATACCCTTGTGTTGCAGTGTCTGACAGATTGATAGGTAAGACACATATGCAACAGTTAGGTATCTTTATTATGAAACGTTTCGCCTACACAGTAGGCTTCTTCAGTCAAGTACAGAAAAGTTCATAGAAGCAGAAGATACTTGAAGACGATGTAATCAGTCCATCACTTTAAGGGTGATTGACTGATTACATCGTCTTCAAGTATCTTCCGCTTCTATCAACTTTTCTGTACTTGACTGAAGAAGCCTACTGTGTAGGCGAAACGTTTCATAATAAAGATACCTAACTGTTGCATATGTGTCTTACCTAACAACCTGTCGGTATTTTATACCATTTTAATGTTCATTACCAAGTATGTCCACCTACCACCACCTTCAACATTACCAAGTATGTCCACCCACCACCACCTTCAACATTACCAAGTAAGTCCACCTACCACCACCTTCAACATTACCAAGTAAGTCCACCTACCACCACTTTCAACATTACCAAGTAAGTCCACCTACCACCACCTTCAACATTACCAAGTATGTCCACCCACCACCACCTTCAACATTACCAAGTAAGTCCACCTACCACCACTTTCAACATTACCAAGTAAGTCCACCTACCACCACCTTCAACATTACCAGTATGTCCACCTACCACCACTTCAACATTACCAAGTATGTCCACCCACCACCACCTTCAACATTACCAAGTAAGTCCACCTACCACCACTTTCAACATTACCAAGTAAGTCCACCTACCACCACCTTCAACATTACCAAGTAAGTCCACCTACCACCACCTTCAACATTACCAAGTATGTCCACCTACCACCACCTTCAAAATTACCAAGTATGTCCACCCACCACCACCTTCAACATTACCAAGTAAGTCCACCTACCACCACCTTCAACATTACCAAGTATGTCCACCCACCACCACCTTCACATTACCAAGTAAGTCCACCTACCACCCACTTTCAACATTACCAAGTAAGTCCACCTACCACCACCTTCAACATTACCAAGTATGTCCACCCACCACACCTTCAACATTACCAAGTAAGTCCACCTACCACCACTTTCAACATTACCAAGTAAGTCCACCTACCACCACCTTCAACATTACCAAGTATGTCCACCCACCACCACCTTCAACATTACCAAGTAAGTCCACCTACCACCACTTTCAACATTACCAAGTAAGTCCACCTACCACCACCTTCAACATTACCAAGTATGTCCACCCACCACCACCTTCAACATTACCAAGTAAGTCCACCTACCACCACTTTCAACATTACAAGTAAGTCCACCTACCACCACCTTCAACATTACCAAGTATGTCCACCCACCACCACCTTCAACATTACCAAGTAAGTCCACCTACCACCACCTTCAACATTACCAAGTATTTCCACCCACCACCACCTTCAACATTACCAAGTAAGTCCACCTACCACCACCTTCAACATTACCAAGTAGTCCACTACCACCACCTCAACATTACCAAGTAAGTCCACCTACCACCACCTTCAACATTACCAAGTATGTCACCCACCACCACCTTCATCTTACCAAGTAATTCCACCTACCACCACCTTCAACATTACCAAGTATGTCCACCCACACCACCTTCAACATTACCAAGTAAGTCCACCTACCACCACCTTCAACATTACCAAGTAAGTCCACCTACCACACACCTTCAACATTACCAAGTATGTCCACCACCACCACCTTCATCATTACCAAGTAATTCCACCTACCACCACCTTCAACATTACCAAGTATGTCCACCTACCACCACGTTCAACATTACCAAGTATGTCCACCCACCACCACCTTCAACATTACCATGTAAGTCCACCTAACACCACCTACAACATTACCAAGTATGTCCACCCACCACCACCTTCAACATTACCAAGTATGTCCACCCACCACCACCTTCAACATTACCAA